CAGCCTCTAAGAAACAGGACACAACCTGGTGATTCACATAGGCCAGACTTCCTACTATGCAGCCCTTTGGGTAGAGCTGCTAATCCTTCTTATTAATTAATGAGATAATAGCAGTTAACCGGAAAGCAATATTAATGCTAACTATCTAGGAACTTCCAACAGAAATTATTTAGTTTGTTTGCTGATTTCCTGGTAACAAAGTCATGCAGCTGGAACTGTAGCAGCATCTTGATGATTTAAGAAGTTAAAAAAACAAGAGTGCCTGAAGAGTATCAGACTAAGGACATCTGCATCTATTTTCTGCCCTCCTTCTTGGATAGTTTAAAAGATCCTCCCCTCCCTCAACTTCAGAGTTTATTAACAGCTGTGGATATGGGCTCCCCCAATTATATCACTCTTACACAAGGACAAAGGAGAGTGTAAACAGCAACATGACTGATCGGAGAAATGTACTTCTAGAGGCACATGCATTAAAAATACTTACAAACGTTTAGCATTTACATGTACCGTTGCTTCAGCCCTTTAAACTCCCAAAGAATTTGTCAGGGTCTACTATGCTTCATTCAGTATGTGCTAGCATCAAGTTTGCATTTTATTTATGCTGCAGAAAAACAGCAGAGATGAAGCGGGGATTAGGAATTCTGCAGATGAGGCACATTGCTGTGGATATTTTATGGCTTAGAAAAAACAGCAATGCAATTTTTATTTATTTTTTTTTTATTAGCCATTGTAAGAGCAAGTAAAACATCTACCAGAAGAAGGGATTTATATTATCTGGGTTCTGTTGCAGCAAACAAGTACTGCAGCTTTCATTCACTGATTGTCAAAAACTTTCCAATGTGCCCACTGCAATGCGGATGCCAACCAACGAATCAAAGGCATTCAGCAACTAGACAAAGAGGGTCTGATGCCAACCTCGGTGCCACTGGCAACCATTATTGGCATCAAGCACATTGTCTGCCTTTTTTTTCCCCTCTCCTGGCACTCGACAAACAAAATGGCGGTTCTTGTAGCAACGGAAACACAGCATAAGCACTGCACTGAATCAGATGCCATCAAATGATTTTACGGATTGAGATGCATTTCATACCAAATGATAGACACTCTCTGATGACTGACAGAAGCGGGGGGGGGGGGGGGGGGGGGGGGAG